TATATATATATATATATATATATATATATATATATATATATATATATATATATATATATAATATACATACATATATATATATATATATATATATATATGTTAATATATATATATATATATATGTTAATATATATATTATATATAGTTCACACACTCTTCACACACTCTGCAAGCCCTATTGATATCTCCCCTTACCCCTCGGTTCTCCTTGACCAGCTTCACCACCAGTGCCTTCTGGATCGGTGATACTCTGCAACACACCACAGACGCACACTGTTCGGCGATGGCCAGTAGTTCCAACTTCAGTGTGTCGTCGAGTGCATACCCTAGAGCACCGCCGTCTATTACCAGCCCTAGCTCTCTCTGTGGGTATGTGTATGGATAGCGTGAGTGTGTACGTGTACATAGTATGTTGGTGTGTCTGGTGTGTTTGCTGGTGCTACATGCGTGTATGTGAGATGTGTCGTGTATCAGTTAATTGGGTCTGTACGAGGCGGTCCCTGGTGCAGTTCATACTCGACGATTTAACATTGCATCCATCTATTGCGAAGGTATATGCGCCGCTGGCAGATTCTCTCATGTATATATATATATATATATATATATATGTACATTTATAGACATATATATACATACAACGGACATTCTAACACATCAACATGCACACAAGTCATTCCATTACATGAACATGGAATACAATCACACAATTAAAAATAGTCATGCATACATACACAACGAACAGGGGAACACATGAACACATGAACACACATACAGTTAGGTGTCTTCTTTACACACACCTGCGTAAACTGATCGCTATCGATCTGCTCTTTTAACGCCCTCAGCTTTTCCCCTACTTCCTCAAAGCCTCGCTCATTGATGACAAACAATTCCATTTGGTTGGTAAGCAACTGACAGGCGAACCCAATGTTGATGGCTGTCTCTTGCTTGTCACCGGTAAGCACCCACACGCGTATATTCGCCTGGGCAGATGAAAATGGGCGAAAGGAGAGCAATGGATTCAGATATATATATATATAGGCGTGTATATAACACATACAAAACACCACAGGCATGTATGATAGATACATGATGTATACGTCCATGTGGTTGAGTACATTAGCACAAATACGATTACTGTTTGTATGTGTATACGTGAACATATTACAGCTACACACATGTACATGTATGCATACATAGCTGTATGTGCGTGTGCACGCCTGCACGCATGTCTGACCAGGCTTGTACAAGCATATCTGGTGTGGTGTAAGCTTTTATGCACACGGACATGAGTGTGTGTGTATGTGAGCACAGGCATACCTTGCGCAAACTGGCGATGGTCTGCGGCACACCCTCCTGCAGTTTGTCTTCAATGGCTGATGCTCCGATGAGATTCAGATCCTGTTCAATCAGCTCCGCCACGGCGTCCACTGGGGAGAGCATAGAAGTAGATCGGCATACCAGAGTAAATACCAGAGTAGATGTACATATCTATGATTCATACGTCCAATGAGCCCCCATTCACAATTCATTAGTAGTAAACGAATAGACGGTCGGCCACCAGACAGTGGGCTATGTCATGAATACACAACCATCACAGAGAAGATCAACATTCCAACACCATATGAGACTAAAGCACATCAATCAATTACTACAAAGCATGATACACAACATGCACCCATCCGCTATCATAGGTAAGAGACCGGCTAGTTACCTTGCACTGTACAACCACGCGTAACATATATCAGACAAGCGATTATATATATATATATATATATATAAATACATACATACATACATACATACACATATATTCTAATATATATAATTTAATATATATATATAATATATAATAGTAATAATAATAATAATAATAATAATAATAATATATATATAACATACAGATACAGATACAGGTACTTACCCTCCTCCGCCCTGTTCTCAAGAGACAGGGCCGCGGCCTTGTACTTTGCGCTCCACTCGTCGTAAACGTGTTGGGGGATGTCCTTGTCGGCCAACACAAGCGTACGCAGTCCCTCTGTGCTGAATTCTTCCAAGTGAGCGTTCGTGGCGTTGAATTTGCGTTCGTCATCGACTTTCACTCGCCCCCCCAACATCACATTATCAGCGCCTGCAATGAGGGCAGATGGTTCGGTAGGTGTGTGTGAATGTGTGTAAGCGGGTGTGTTTGAGTGGGTGTGTGTATGTGACTGTGTGTATGTGAATGTGTGTAAGTCTGAGTATATGTGAATTTTGTATGTCAATTTGTGTAAGTGGGTGTGAATTTGTGTAAGTGGGTGTGTGTATGTGAATGTGTGTAAGTGGGTGTGTGTATGTGACTATGTGTGCGAGACTGTGTGTCAGTGGGTGTGTGTCCAAAGAATTTACAAATAAGCGCACATCGCCAGTAAAAGTCTCAAACACTTACACTAGCATGTTTGCACGTGAAGTACCCTGGCGCTTGATGACACACACCTTTGCACAACAGTTTTATCCTGCCATCGGGCCCTTTGACGATGACCGACATCCGCTTCCTGTCCGAGTTGAACTCAAGTATATTAAGTACTTCATACGTGATTTTCTGTGAGAAGGCAATGGATTAAAATGGTGATTTATTACAATTTCTGCCGCAGATACGGCAGTGACGGTGATAGCAGGAGAGGTGATACTGTTGCTATTGTTTGGCTTGCTTTGTGAACGACGAGATGGATCACAGGAACATCCAGTACTACGCACTACCAAGCGCTCGCAGAGGGAATGCGACACCACAGGTCTGTGACTAGATGGTCTGACAACACTTGACTTGGAGATGGATAGGACTGCTTGGTCTGTGGATGGTTAAGATTACTAGCCTGTGGACAGATGTAGTAATACTAAGACGATGTGAGCAAATAAGATAGTACTATGAGCAAATAATATAGTACTATGAGCATGTAGTAGATAATTATGAGCAAATACCATGATACTATGAGCAAAATTTATACTACTAGGAGCAAATAATATAATACTATGAGCAAAAAAATAATACTATGTACTAGCAAATAATATAATACTATGGGCAAATGCCATGATAATATGAGCAAATAAAATAATACTATGAGCAAATAAAATAATACTATGAGCAAATAATATAAAACTATGAGCAAATAGCACAATACTACTAAACACCCTGGACTAGTTTGCGTTCGGAGAGCCCCAAACATATGACGTACGTCACACGGGCTACACGCACGTGCCGTCGCACTATGTGCGTATATGTCTTTTGGCGCGTGCATAGCTGGGGGGTAGTCTTTATAAGCAGACGTAACGTAGATAGACATCCCACACGCATCAGCTTGGAGTAGCTTAAACACACCTCTCCATGACAGCAGATGTCGACCATATTCTGGTTACGTCCGGTGAACACATAGCGGAAGTTCTTTGCTGCGTCAACCAGAGCGGCTTCATCAGGTGACTGTGCGGCGTACTTGATCTTCCCATCTTCCTGGGCTGGAGATGATGGAAAGGATAGGCGTAGATGTCTGCTCAATGAGCAACATGCCTATGTAACTTCAACCGGCACCGTGATGTGTCCATGGCAGCAAAGCAAACACATATAAGTATATATATATATATATATATGTATATATATGTATATATATATATATATATGTGTGTGGTGTGTGTGTTGTTGTGTGTGTGTGTAGTCGTGTGTGTGTGT